GTGAAGCTAGAGTTCCTTGCTATGCCCTTGCTGTGGATTTCTGTTACTACGTTCAGTCTTCCTTTGTCTTTATTCTTCCTCATGCTCTCCAGGCTCCTGCAGGTTCTCTGTGCAAATGAGCTGATTGTCTGAGAGTTAAATGAAAGCCTAGAATTCACACACAGTCTGAGAAAGAGCATGGGTCTTCTCAAAGCTTTAAGGCAAAGCATCACTGAGGCTGTGGGACCAGCAGAAACATCCCACGACTCTGAAGGTATCAAGGCCAAGCGAAAAGATTACATTGGATTGTGTGAGAAACACATTTTTTCAAGGCTATATAGAAAGAGACATTTATCAAGAGAGGTATTTAGTAGGTCAACGCAAGCCACTGAGTGTCACACACTAAGTTGGGCAAAGTCCTTGCTACAGAATCTACTTAAATCCTAAATCCTAGTCTTTTATAGGTACTGATTCCTCATCTCTATCTTTGGGTGGTTTAGGTTCTTTCTTTTTTTACTGTATCTAGAAAATAATTGTGACATGAGTGACATCTAGAAACACACGTGGACACACGTCTTGCTGTAGATGCTAACACATTCATCTTCCATTATCTTAGAAACCTGGCCAGATGCCGGCAGACAGACACAGCCGTGCAGCCCATGGGAATTGAAAAGGAATTCTGCTCATCAGGCAACCTGGGCAGGCTCTCATTAGGCCTCAGCAGGGTCATCAAGCTCAAGGAGGATGTTAGGAGCTTGGGGAGAGTCCAGGGGACTGCATCAAAAGAAATAAACGTTTGAGAAATGATCTTGAAGGGGCAGGTTGAAAGGGACCGGGCTTGTTTGCCTGGGTAACATCTTGTAAGCGCACAGCAGGACCCGGTCTGGGCAATGGCTCGACTGGAGGGTGAGAAGGCAGCTCTCATCCCACACGGGCCCAGAGACCAAGAGACAATGGCTTTGGGAGTGGGTTTTAAATTTCCATGGAAATTCGGGACCTCCAGATTTCAAACTGTATGTCCAAAGGAAATGACAGATGGCCTTTTGTCACCCTTTCCCCAACATCAAGGAAAATCAGAGATGATCTAGTTTAGAACAATAAACCTTAGAGAGAAAGTGAGTTCCCTGTTCAACACTTAGGTCACTGTTAGCTCTGTGACTCCCTGGTTTGATGTGAGGAGTTGTTAATTAACAAGTGCATATGTTTGTGAGTGGGTATGTGTGTGTGGGGTGTGTATGTGTGATTGTGTATGTGAGAGTTTCTGTGGATGTGTGTGCATAAGTGTGTTGCAAGTGTGTGTGTGTGTGTGTGTGTGTGTGTGTGAGAATGTGGTTCTCAACTCCATTGTTCCCAGAAAAATAAGTACAAACATTTCTTAGGAACATTTTTTCCAAAGACAATGGGTGTCTGAAGACACACTCTAGCTGCTCCTTTCTTCAAAGACAGTCTGATTTTCTCATGGCCGTGCTCCTTATTCTATTCCTTCACCTGCGGCAGCAAGACTGGAAGTGACCCATTTCCAATGAAATGGGGGTCACTGATTGCACAGGTCAGAGATGGAGGGATAATATGAACATAATCTGCTGTCTCTGATAGTGCTCACACTTCTTCCCTCTGAGCATAGGCTTTCTACTTCACCACAGAAGAAAGAAAAAGAGAGAGTGATAATATCCAAGTTCAAAACATGACTTCTAAAGTTTTGCTTTTATCAACAAGAAAAGAAAATAGCTTTGTCATTGCAGTTGCAGAAATTCAATCTAATTTCCAAAGATCTGCCTTATGACAAATGCCAAAATATGTGGCTGCCTTGCTATGAAATTCCAAGGAAATGTCACTTTTCCCTAATTGTCCCTCTATTTATTCAGGAGTGAATTAAGAAAGAAAAGATCTATTTTTCATCTCTCTGAGTTTCAGAAAAGAGTATCTGTTGTGTTAAAATTGCAAATGCTTCGGAACTCCTGTTTCTTTCCTGAGTTTCCCATTTCCTCTTTTAAACATTTTTTAAAGTTCCAGTACATTTCTGCAAATCTTATGTCTGTTTTACTACCTGAAGCCAAAACAGACTGCAAAACCAAGCAAATACTACCTCCACTTTTTATATAAATGGCCTTGGAGGGCAATCACCAAGGGCCCCAAACTCCTCTGTGGGTCAGTCAATCACTATTATCTCTAGACTCTTTAGGGTGGTCCATCATCTTTGGTCTAGGCTCCCAGGGCTAAGGGTCAATCTCTTTTGGTCACCTCTGCCCATCTCTGCTGGAGTCAATTTAGACCCTTCTGTTTCCTCCTGCAATCCTTCTCAGAAAGCTCTAACGATGATCTGAAGTGGTAAGTGAAAAACCAGTACTGAGAAAACTGAAAAGAAGTAAGGTATTAACAATCTCATACACACACACACACACACACTTCCTTCTCTATGAGCAGAAAAGTCCCATCCCTTCTTAAAGCCAGGTTCATCAGTAGATAAGCACTACTGCAATTATTTCAGGGCTCACTGATTATCTTCGTTTGCTTGACAGTGCGAGATGAAAGTACAAGACCACATGGTCTTCCAAAAATGTCCTAGTAAGAAGTCTATCCATCTTCTATTAATCTTTCTGTGTTTTAATAACTATCAGGAATTCTGGTGTTGGAAAAACACTTTTTAAAAAGTGACCAGGGTAATTATTTGTGTGACAGTGCTAGGTATTCCATCTCCTAATTTGTGTACGAATATCCAGTGTGTTTAAATGTCTCTCACCTTGGATGAAAGCAAAGGACTTGGGTGACTAAGCAAAGGACAGGGTCATCTTTGTTGTAACTGAAGGTGACATCTCAGTCAAGAGCATGGGAATGAGGTGAGAAGAGGGACTTCAAAAAGTACTCAACTTCAGTGCAGTTCCAATTTGTAGGAATGCAGAGCAGGGTTCTTCTAAGCCATGTTCACCTCATTAGCTCCAGAGTATGGAAGAGGTGGATGCTACGTCTGTTCACAAGACTCGGAAGTCACAGAGGGCAGCCTTCTAATTTGTAGTCCTGACAGCCTATCTATGACATGGCTGTGTGCCAGAATTTCTCCTGGTTGGAAAGAAAAAGTGCAGCAAACAAGTATCAGGAGGAACCTTCTCGGGTTGCTGTGTTTTGAAGAATGAAGAACATCCCATCAGTTAAAGGAAGAGCTGAGAAGCAAAGGCACAACGATTGTACGTTGTTTCTGTTCTAGAAGTTACCCCCTAGAACCCTTTCATTGAGAACTGAAGGGGCTCAGGATGAAACAGCTAAAAAGATGATAAGGGGAAAAAAGCAAAAGGAAACAACGACCACAAAGCCTCTCTATGTCACCAAAGTCATGTAATACGAAGGTATAAGCACTTGGAAAATTGATTGTATTAATGCAATCCTCTGCCAGTTAACTAAAGCTCTCTCCTTTCTGGATCCAATATTTTAAGCTTTAAAAATCAATAAATGTAATATTTTGCAATAGTTTTAATCAACTAAGATGGCAGTTTATCTTAGTGAGGTTAATTGTGTTATTTACTTATTTATTTATTCATTGTCTTCTTGTTTCTACTTCTTTTATATTCAAAAAGCATTTGAGGTGGATTCATTTAGCTATAAAGGCATTTAAACTTTTAAATAAGACACAAAAAAGTCTAAGTGGCACTTGAGACACCCCCTTGAGAGAAACCTCTCATCTCTTGGGTTTGTAGATATCGCATATATTCATAAATCAAATCCAGTGACTACTCAAGTGAGGCCAAAATACTAAAAAAGCACCCTGTATTCCATTAGAAAAAAATGCAATTAGTTTGCTTGGTTATGTTTTTAAAATAGCTTGACATTTTACATAATTGATGAATATGTAATTTTCTAATCAGTAATGGACAGTTCCCATGGAGATATCATTATTAGTCTTTTAATTTACAATTTCAGAGAGTTTTATGAAAGTGAAGACTAAAGCTAAGAAGCAGAGAAAAACCACTCCAAGATGGCATTATCCTATTTAACACCCATAATATTTAACAGTAACCACAATTAAGCTTCACAAATTAAGTCATTGTATTGAATTCCTATTGGATGAGTTATAGGTAGAGAATTTATGTGTAGTGATTTTTTTCCCCATACTAAATTTCCCATACAGAGTCATGTAACCAAGTGAACCTCAGAGCAACATATTATACTATAAAGGGTTAAAGGATATTGTAGCTTATGTCTTTATTTCTTGTCTCTTTTCTCCAATGATAATAGAGATCTCAGTTACCATGCATAAACACGTAAATTCCCTTACTGAGAATATTTCTGATACTGTTGGTATAAGAGCGAAAGTAATTTATTTAAAGATTGCCTTGTTTGTCTACAGTTTTTGGTAAGTATCTAGATTATGTTGTTGGTCAGTTTGTCCTTATGACCTAAGAAAAAAAGACTAGCTGCCATGTTCAATCCAAATGACTTGTTATAGGAATATTTATAAGGACATCAATATTCATTGTATCTTACAGTCATGCTCCAAGCAAAATAAAAATAAAAGTTAAACGGCCACAAATATTACAGTATCATAGGATAAGAACTAAACAATATGTACAAATTCATTGACAACATCTGCGCGAGTGTTGTGGACAAAACATTTAAAAAGAAATCTACATAAAACAAAGTTGATAAATTTATCAAGTGTTGATAAATTTTCAGAGACAGTATAAAAGTACACAAAACATAGAAGAGAAAAAGAATTTTAAAAAAACAACCACTAAGCCAGTACATAGAGTACAAGTTTACATTTATATTACAGAATGATGGGAACCAGAGACAAAAACGATTTGATAACAAACAGCAAAGAAAGTTGCACCAATCACAGGGAAGAAGGACTTTCCTTTTTAGATGAAAACGCAGACGGCCACAGCTCATCCCAACCCCACCCATACACACACAGAAAAATAAAAGCAGATGCAAAAGTCGTTACAGTAACACACGACAGACAGAGGTGGAAAGCGTTTGGCATGTCGCATCACAGGAAGTCAATCACGATTGGCTAACGATGATGGTACCTGGCTCTGGTGCAGGTCACCGGCTTGCCTGAGAGGAGTAACAGATGGAGGGGGCACACCTGATGTGGATGCCGACCGCCCCAGTTTGCAGCTTACTTTCGGTTCTGTGAACGAGGAGGAAAGACACAGCATTAGGTGAGCAAAGTCTGCAGCCATGAACCGGCTCTCAGACTTTCTTTGGCTTTTGCAGCAGGTTCTTTTAATGCACCAAATTCTTCTGCTGTATGCCAATCATTGGCAAGTGATGAAACAATTTCATAACAATGGACTAAAACGAAATTTGTTCATGAGGATCAGCTCCTGGGAATGAAGAACAAATCATTTAAGTTCAAGGCCTTGCTCCCTTGTGCTCTTTACCCTATTTGCAATGAGTTTCTACAGAGTGATTAGGCTGGGAAGATCCCCTGGAGAAGGGAACGGCAACCCACTCCAGTACTCTTGCATGGAGAATTCCATGGACAGAGAACCCTGGTGGGCTACAGTGCATGGGGCTGCAAAGATTGAACACGGTTAAATGACCAACACAACATCCCATTGGGAAAAAAAGCTAATTTTTGGTGCTTTATTTTCAGCTTTGGTCCATGGTTCTCCTATGTCCTAAAATGGCTTTCTACCCTCTCCAAATTTTTCTTCTATCCCGCCCTCTTTTCATTTTATCTTTTCCTCTTTCTCTTATTTTTTCCTTCTCTTTCTATTTTCTAGCTTTTTGATTTTCAAGTTGTCTTGTTCTGGCTATTTCCATGATACAATATTTTCAACGTATCATTTCCCCAATTTAAACTCATTTTCTTTTAAGTTTATAGATACTTCTAAGACCTTTGCAATCTTTCATAATAATATTATTTTTCAAAATTAAAAAGCCTTCTCCTAACTCTTCCTTTATTTAAGGAACCTAGATTGGGCACCTAGGTCACTGTCAGGATACTCTGGAGATTAGAATTTGGGGGATGGAAAGAGTTACCTTCATTCAAGAAGTGCAGAATGTATGGTCTACAAGGGACACTAATTTTCAGACATATTTGAGGGTATTGTGCAGGTGATTCTAGTACCCACACACCTACTCTTAAAAATATAAGTGTTCAAATCTAAGTGTACCACACGATGACTTAAACTATCTCTCTAACTTATAAATGAATTTAACTTTTCAGGAGGCATAAATCCTTACATGTCTTAAAGAATCATCTTTTATCATGTAAAATAAAGGTAAAGCATCTATTGGAATCCTGGTTGACATGTTTTTATAATGAGCCAGTGTTTCTATATATCCCTTTATGGCAGTAGCACATTTAGGAACATGAAGAAAATTAAGCAATATTTTTTTCCTTGAAAAGGATAGCAAATAATATTTTTTCCTATGAGGTTCCTTTAAAGTGTATGTTGAAGAGATTATCCGATGAGTGACACAATCCCATGCCTTTCATATTACCCGACGTACCTATGGATTAATTTCCCCTGCTAGGTTTCCAGTCAGACTCTGACTTAATCAGCATCTTTCAAGCATAGGCGCTGATATCTCTAATGCACAGAACTGAGACTTACCAAAATCCAAGCAAACTCCCAATTTCATCATGACCCAGAAAGGCTTTGCCTTACCCGCACTGGAGAGTGGTCCCGATCATGTCTTGGTTCATCAACCACCCCCAAGGGACTGTAATTTAGCCATTAACCAGTCATCACACATGGCAGCTTCCCTTACTGGCCAGCCATCCTGTGGCTTTAAAGTCCAAGCCCAACGTGGCTCATATGAGTTATGACTTCACCTGCAGTGGCAGGGACAGGCTGAGATGATTACTTACACATTCATTATGCACACATGCATATACAGACAATAAACACATTTCTGTGTTTACACACACACACACACACACACAAATACATACTCCATTGTTGCTTAATGGTATCATGTCATAGGGACAATTTTGTTCATTTTGAGTTTTGGGTTTATCTTTAGCGTACTCATTTCACTCTTGTTTTCCATTTCACCTGGTCCTTCACTTAAATGCATTTGTAATCTATTATGGTGTTTGTGAGACCAGGTTGGTGAAACAAACCATTATGATCTTGGACCCACCAAGGTTTCTTTGGGCCAAAAGAATGTTTTGAAAAAGTCTTGAAAATCCTAGAAAAGATACTGATTTTATAACTGAATCTCTTAGAGCTATGATATCGAAGTTAAATTGTCCAGTTCACTCACCTTTGGAAATACACTGTGCTTTAAGTCTTAAACAGAGGGGCTTAGGATCTATAGTACTGAAAACAATATGTTTTCATCCTGAACTTTGCTAATATAAAAAATTTCCAAGGCTTTAGAGGACCACAAATAATGGACATATGCCTCAAAAGAGATCTAAGATGCGGCTTTCCTCCCCTAAAAAAAAAATAACTCATTTCATTTAGAGATTCATTATGAGCTAGAAATTACTTGTTCTTTGTATACCTAAGGAAAAACCTCGCTTTGTGTAATAAACTACCAAAAACCTAGAGGTAAAAGTTGATGTTATTTGTGCAATTTTAGTGAAGGTCAAGTATAAAAAAAAAAAAAAACAAGAAAGAATGAGGACGGGGAGATACACAGAGACAGAAAGAATGGAAGAGGAAAATGGAAAAAAGGAAGAAGGAAGGAAGGTGAGGGTGAGAAAGTGGGAGGGCTGGAGGAAGGAAGGAGAAAGAAGACATTAACTTTAACTCCTTAAAATAAACTATCATCAAGATATTCTGTGATGTTTCCAGGCTGGTAATTCATCATCATCTTATGATATTACTAAGGAAGTGCCAACTGGAATTTGTTACTTAAGAAGAAAGAACTCATATCTTTCTTTTTATTCTTATTGGATACAATCTTTCATTGCATTTTTAAAGGATGGTAATTTCTCCATCATTTTTCATCTTCCCTTTAGGGTGAATTTAATTTCTGTTCAGGATTATGTTCCTTGGTGTTGTTACAGGAGAATCCCCAAGGCATCCACAGCTACGAGTGTTAGTACTGCAGTTCTCTTTGCTTTCAGAAAGAAAAGACAAATGACTGTTCTCAACCTCTGGATCTACACAGCAATAAGAGATTAGTGCATTTTCACTAAAGAAAACACTTTCATCTAGCGTCAAAGAAATAAGATCAGTCAAATTCTGGGGAGACATATTTTTTCTCCATCTTGTTTTATTTTTTCAGTACACAATATTTTTCTCTACTGGCAGAGGCATATCATGATTTTCCCTAGTCAATCACACTGCTGAAAGTTTCTAATCGATGACTTTGTGCTACATGGAGGTCACAGAAAGGCCTTTTATTTAATACACCAAGGTATGCTGATTGCAAACTCTACTTTCATTTCTGGAGAAGGCTTTTTTTTTTTTTCATAACACATATGCTATTTGAGATAAACTGATGCCTGAGTAATAAAGGCACAGTTTTGCCAGGACTATTCTAAATCTTTAACCTTCACAGATTTCAAATGCTTTGTTTTCAAGCTTCCTTCACACATCATAGCAAACATATCTGATGCCCTCATATCCTACATCCAATGTAAATTTTATTATGTAAAATTGGAATACATTTTTATAATTTTGCTTTGAAATTACTGGACTGTGAAAATCCAATTAATTCATGATTCGCTATGATTTCTAGACAGTAATCATGCACACTCAGGAATCCTTATAGAATTAGACAATCTAATCTGGAATTTATTTTCAGGTGTAATGAAACTGTTTTAATGTTAAACTTAACAATTAATTAAATTGACCTAATGTTACATTTTGTATTGATTTAGTTAAATATCCATTCATGTTAATGTGGCAGTTTCATTTGGAATTTTGGTGCTACTATTTTTTTTAAGTATCAAATATTTGCAGCCATAAAATTGAAACAGACTTGCTTCTTGAAAGGAAAGCTATGGCAAACTTCACATATTAAAAAGCAGAGACCTCACTTTGATGACAAAGGTCTGTATGGTCAAAGCTATGGTTTTTCCAGTAGTCATGTATGGATGTGAGAGTTGGACCATAAAAAAGGCTGAGCACTGAAGAATTGATGCTTTTGAACTATGGTGCTAGAGAAGACTCTTGAGAGTCCCTTGGACAGGAAGGAGATCAAACCAGCCAATCCTAAGGGAAATCAACCCTAAAGATTCATTGGAAGTGTTGATGCTGAAGCTGAAACTCCAATACTTAGGCCACCTGATGCAAAGAGCCAACTCATTGGAAAAGACCCTGATTCTGGGAAAGATTGAAGGCAAAAGTGGGTGGCAGAGGATGAGATGGGTTAGACAGTATTACTGATTTAATGGGTGTGGATTTGAGTAAACTCTGGGAGATAGTGGAGGACAGAGGAGCCTGGCATGCTGCACTCCATGGGGTCACAAAGGGTCAGACATGACTTAATGACTGAACAACAGCATTTGTATAGATCCGTGAGAACCCAGGGGCCCACAGACCCAGGCACTGTCACTATGATGCTGAAAGATGAAACAGATCTGACCACTTCTGTGATCACTTTGTGGCTGTGGAGAAAGAATATCAAATGTAAAACTCTATCCTGGGAGTAGACATGCTTCTCTCTCTCCATCTCCATGAGGGGTATTCCTCTAAGCCAGCATTCATATAGTATTGAATGACTCCTGGCATCCTTTAGCTATGGACCAAATTCTAGTGTTATCTGAAGGGTCACATAGTAAAACTATTGATGTTGGAGTAATTGGTGATTCTCCTTGGGAATACTGGAATTTTGGTAAAGATCTAAAACCCAGATAAAAGTGAGGTGGCAACCTGGTGGATAAAATATATGATCCAATGTCAAAAGTAGAAAATTAAAGAATCCATTGCATACAGGAGAAAGAGAATCCCATGCACGTGGGGTTAGGAGTACCTGTTGTATTCCTTCTGAGTATCTGAGGGCTGGGCTTTCCCTTGCTTCCACTTTCTTAGGCAGAGAGAATTTAAATCACACTGCTCATACACAGGGATGCCCCCGATGCTGTAATGCACGATCTTCTTACATGGCAACATGGCATATTGTAGCATTAACAGCTTTTTAAATTTGAGAGCCTCTTTTATTACACATAACTTCTGAAACGCCCTTAAGATCTTCATCACCTTAGCTAAATATGAAAGT